GTCATATTTTATTACCATTTTCTAAACTATAGCAAATAAACTGTGATAATGCATGACATGTTGAAGGTGTCTGAATACATTTTGGTTTGACTGTAGAAATAATGATAAAATAACTCTCCACAGTGCATGGATCTACCATTGACCCACAATAAAAATAGAAACCAAGCAAAATGCCTCGTCGTGCGATGATTTTGCCTTGTGGCTGGTTATAGGATATGGTGTTAAAAAGAATCTCATAGCCCAGATCAGTGTCTTCATCGTGCTGGTTTTCAACCTGAAGTTAACCTTCTGTCATACACAAAACACACACAGAGCCACACGGCCCACTTCTCATTCCCAGGCCACCGCGCTAAATGAGTTTCAGTCCAGTACTCCAGGGACAGGTTAGACTGGACCTGTACTTCAGTGTGCTCATTACCTCATTCAAACACAGATAGCGCTCTCGCAGATTTGATTTGGCCATTATAGGCACAGCGCCGGAGGCCTCGTCCTCCTATTGAGTTTCTGTAACTTGTCCTAACATGGTTTTTACTGGCAGCGAAGTGACATCAGTTTTTAAGTGGACAGCAGGTGGACGGCGGCCTCACAGCGTAAGATATCAGCCTTCAAATGCCAAAGAAACAAGTTGTAACTAGAGATGCGCAGATACTACATTTCTCTGGCGATACCAATAGCTGATTATTCAAAATGACATCTGCTTAGACTGATACACAAGAAAATACTGTTTAAGTCTTTATACTTCAAAAAAATCATCTGTTACTTGCCAGTTCTTTGTAATTAATTGTAAAAGTGGAAATTGTTTCAACCCCATTTTTTTCCAGTGTAGTTTGGTTTTCTTAAGAAACACACACACACACACACACACACACACACACACACACACACATATGTATATACTGTATATATTCAGATAAAATCACACTTAAATCAAAATGAAATTTTGTATACAACATACATATATACTTGACAGTAAATAAGCTCCTCTCTAGTGTTTTTAGAACTAACTAACCAACTGTGAACACTGTTAATTTCCTGAGGTAAACATTAAGTTAAATATTGTTATCAAGCTGTCTTTCTGCAGATTAAACACAAAACGAGCACTGAAACATTTCAGAAAGTTGTACTGTGTCTTTCAATATTTTCTGATGTTCATGCATGTTTATTAAAGAGGAAGAGATCCGCGCTGCCGCTTGAATTGACGCGTTACAGTATTCTGTCATGCTACATTTAAGGGGCCGTTCACAAATAATGCGTTTTTTTTCATTCCAATGCTCTACTTTTCCATTGTTTATCTATGTAAATGCTCAAAACGGACGAGGATAACCATTGTGTCCTGCTTCTTTAGCAGCGTCTCGCACATGAGCGCCGCATTTTTAAGACAGTGTGTAAATTTAAAAGAATTTAAACTTTTACATGCAATGCCGCTCATAAGTTTGAGTTTCAAAAGAGTGGACCAATCAGAAGACCCAGGAGGCGGGGCAAGCGTTGCATGATTTTGTTTATAGTAGCAAGTTGGCGTGCCAACTGTTTTATTTGACGACAACATGGCGGCATTCTGTTGCTTTTTTTTTTTTTTTTTTTTTTTACCATTCCTGAGTGCTGCTTATCGTGTTTTAAGACGCAAAGACGAGTTCTGGCCCCCAAGCATGCTAAAACGGCATTTATTGTTGAATTTTGTTATAAAATAAACAGAATTTCAGAGCTGAGACTTAGTTTCTACTCAGAAGTAATAAGCACAAAGCTCGTTGCGATTATTAGATGAGAGGCACGTTGTTTGGTGAAGGGAAAAACTGTGAATCTGGCAACCCTGGCTTGAAATACATGTGATCCACAATGTCAAATAGAATCTGTCAACAGCGCTATTGTTTTGAAGTGAGATTGCATTAATGTGTCATTATCCCGTTAACTTTGACAGCCCTAACTTCGACACAAGAGACATTTTCTTCGTGCACCAGTTATAGTCTGAGATGTTTTTCCGCCCCCTTTTGATTGACAGTATTTATTCGGCCCTGATCATTGGCTGTTTTTAAACAGTAGGCTGAAGTCTGATAGTGCAGGTTGTTTTTATCGGTCAATACCGATTATTGTTCGATATATCAGTGCATCCTTACTTATCCTTAACAGTTCAAGCAATGAACCCGTTAAACCAAAAGGCAGGATAAAAACAGAAAGGGAAATTAAAACTCCTACAATGCACACACACACACCTATGGAAATATACTGATGTTGATTTCCAAGTGTTTCCTAGACTATTAGCTTGAGTCATACTGTAAATGCGCAAGATTCTAGCACGACAGTTCAAGCAATGAACCCGTTAAACCAAAAGGCAGGATAAAAACAGAAAGGGAAATTAAAACTCCTACCATGCACACACACACACACCTATGGAAATATACTGATGTTGATTTCCAAGTGTTTCCTAGACTATTAGCTTGAGTCATACTGTAAATGCGCAAGATTCTAGCACAGCCAGTTGGATTTCCTCAAGCGGGATGGAGAAAGAGAGAGAGACATTGTAATTGTATTAGCCTGTGACTGAGAGAAAATGCTCATTGTTGTTAAATTAGATCATGCTTATGAGAAAGTGTGGAAACATTCAGTCTCTCGCTGGGAAAATCCGACAACTCTTTTCGACCCGGGACTGCTGTCAATCAAACAACTGACAGATTGATGTTAGGGATCAGAGGTCAACTCTGACCTGGGGTGGTGAGGAGGTAGGGTACTTAAACACTTAGAAATGCTCAGGTTTTGTGATGGGGCATCCCTCGAGTCCCAGTGCCCATCTGGATCTGATGAGACGGGTGGGTACCAAAGACAGAGGTCACCCTACAGGAGGCTTTCTCCTGTCCGCACCAGCCTTTCCTCTTCTTCCACTGCCATTCCCATTCCTGAGGATCTCCTTTCCCTCAACAGCACTTAGAACGACACATGTGGTCTGTTAGACACAAAAAGACTCATTCAGTTCAGCCCACCAGGACTGGCCTTTGAAAAACTCCTGAGAAAGAGGGAAGGCAGAGAGAGGCGTTTGGCGGAAGATCAGAGTGATGTGAAGAAGAAATCACTCCCTTCTTCTTGGGAAGGTTTCCCACTGGCTGTTTTAGGGAATCTGTGCATTGACAACCTTCTTCAAGGAAAGGGCCGCAACCTTTACCATGAGCGATTTAGAAGTAGAGTCTCGAATGAACGGGGCCTCAGCAGTCTCGCTTCCTTTTTCTTTTAGAGGAGTCCACTAGTTTTGAAAGGCTTCTAGAAATAAAACAGGTTTGGCAGGCGTTTAGCAGCCCGTGATGCCAGCAGGGGTCCTGAGCTCAGGGATTTTTCGTGCAGTAGGGAGTCTCAGCAAGACCAAGAGGTCTGTCTTACAATTCGTTGCGTTTTCACATAAAAGCTTTGGCTCTTCATAGCTGTAATAGATGTTACACATTGCTGACGGACTAAAAGCTATTGCTTTTGATGGTGCTTTTTGAGGGCAGAATCACAAAGGTGGAAATTAATCCCAAGGTATAACCCACAGGGCATTTTCACACTAGAGTACTGGATGAAACTGAGTTTAACTGTAAAAATGTGGTGTGTCCATCAAGTAACAAGCAATAACCTTACACCTTGAAAGCATTTGAATGTACAGTTTTATCATCATTAATTTTGAAAAGAAAAAAAAAAATTATAATATATATA